GCAATGTCAAACCACTTCTGGATCATCTGCCAAGAACGTATATGAACAGGTCCCAGTCCGAGAAAAGGATGGAAGGATCCTGTTCATATGGACCTGTCGTCAGACAGAATACTAAATAAAAATAAATAAAATAAAACGCCAGTGACCTGTAAGGAAATGAATGATGGAGGCTGTAGGAACCTCTGAAACGTCAACCCAAAAGACAGCCATCTTCGGACACCGCCGTGGAAACCTCATATCCTAAGTCATTTTGAGGATGCGTTTGTTTTCCTTCCCCTGAAACGGTGACTGCCGTATCCTAAGGACATCCGCGTTTCTTCCGAATGCGTAATGTTGGTTACCTCGGCCCAATCTTTCCTCAACGGCCAAGTCTATTGAAGGAACACTCCGTGTGCTTGACGTTACTTTATTTAGAACCAGTACTTATTATTTCAGGTTCTGGTTACTGCATATGGCGGCTCACATCGCTCTGTTCCTGATGGTTTTACTGGCTGCGCATCTGCTGCTCGGCACTGACCTTGTGGTTTCTATCATGCTGGCAGTCGTCTTCACGGTTCTCTTCGTCTGGCTTTGATACCCTACTCCTGTGCAGGAGGTCAGAGCATTTCCTGTCTAAGGCACGAAGAGGAAGTTTCATTTGACGTGAAGCTTTCACGGCAGCTTTCATTAAAATCTTCTCGGGCTGTCAACCGTGTTAGATGGTGATTAATCGCCGACGTTTCGAGGACCATCTCTGTCCTCACTTTCAAGGCTGTTGACTGTGTGGCTCGTAGCTACAGCCTTGAAAGTGAGGACAGAGATGGTCCTCGAAACGTCGGCGATTAATCACCATCTAACACGGCTGATAGCCCGAGAAGACTTTATTAAGAAAGTTTCATTGTCTGTAATCACGAAAAGTAATACCCAGAATAACAATACAGCTCTGTATGAAATATTTATGCAAATGAAATTGTAACTAAAATGTAGCCAGTGCAATTACATACGTGTTTTACAATATTCATATGTTCTCAAGTAACTGTGAGCAACCACTGCCTATTTTCAGGAGGCATCCAGTTCAAATCTAGGTCTGGATATCGACTATACTGACACGTGTTTTCTTGAAATTTCCTGCAAAAAAGATGACCTTGAAACAGGCTACAACTGCTTCCTTTCAATCGAAACCTGTTTACAATTCATCAATTTTTTTGCCACTATACGTGACGTCATTTAACGCAAACACGTGAAACCACCATGGTCTGCTTTTAATAAATACATTGTATAAAACAAGTCACAGTGCAGACAAAATTTAAATAGATGTAAGGTTTAATGTTTGTGCAGAAAATGATTGCTTGACCCAAACTAATACAAGTACATAAACACTACACACTTGATCAAATAAAAGGCTGCATACTGCTGCAGGATAAATAAAAAGAAGCAAATGACTCGGAGAGAGAGAGAGAGAGAGAGAGAGAGAGAGAAGTCAATCGAAAATACAAGAGAAGAGTAACCAAACACGTAATATTTTACGTCAGCAAATTTTATCACCTTTAATTAGGACTATGAAGCTTCATTGTCGGACCGAAGTGCTGCATAATTTTGTTTGCTAATGCTGAGCGTGGTAAACAGCGCCTCTTAGTCAGGAAGCCTAAAAGACGGGTTATGGACAAACTTCTTATCTAACTCCACAGCGAAGCATGTACATAGTGCAGTTCATAGTTCCTCAGGAAATTTGTGTTCTTAAAATGACGTCAAAAGAATTCCCAATCCGAAGCACACAACTTCGCACCTTCTCTAAGATGACGCTCAATATTATTATCATAGTCACGCCTAGTCCCTCTTGCAGTCCCCTGTTTCAAACAGATCATAAACATAACTACAACTTCAGTTAAAATTATTAATTGTCAGGACTTTTTCCAACGTCTATTCTTTAAAACCACGAACGGTACCTGAAGACGAAGACAGAACCAGCCTCCGAAACGTCGTAATTTTAAAGAACAGACGATGGAAAAAGTCCTGACAATTAATAATTTTAAGTGTAAACTACCGTCGTCAAAAACCTTTAGAACTGAATTCAACATTGCTGAGATAACAACTACAAACATGGCATCAACACCAAAATTTGAGGTTGTATCTGTGAAATTTAACATAGCACGTACTAGTAACGATTAAACAACTCGATGGATTACGAAGTTGCATAGTTATTAATTTATGGTCGTTAACCACGGCACACAGAGTAAAGCAGAAGTGGTAAGTTCTTTCTAATGTAATTTTTAAATGGATGGAACGAGAACTGTTCTCTGCCGATGAAAGCTGAGCAGGATGTCGAAGAAAGGAGCACACCTGCTTTGTGTTGATTAGTAAACGCACCTGCCACTTTCACTAGAATCTTAGGAAATAGAGATCAGACTGGCTAAGTGCTCGAGGTATCACAAATAATCGCGTTTCTTGACGTATAGACCAGTATAAATAAATAAACAGTGATCGAAAGTCCTGTTGCCAACAGATGAGTTAAATGGATTACACCGAAACCTTCTCTCTTTATACTTATCTACGGTTTACACAACGTCGCTGTCAATAATTCAGATTATATAACTTCTAATGACATGATCATCTGTGAACAAATGAAAATGTAATTTGGAAGAACGCGTAAGGAAGCAGTCATGCATGACACAATCCAATGTACTGTCTCGGCATGCGCCTAGATGTGAGGAAGAAAACAATGATACAAAATCAGGACCGCCGGTCTCCGGGCCGAAATTTAATTCTGCGACCACGTGGATACAAAACAGTACCACGAACGACCCGACCCGACGTTCGGACATTCGCATTTCGGACAGCTTCCTTCAGTCGAACTGTGGGGTAACGCGTCTGGGCCAATTTCTTAAAGATGAACAATAAATAAGTTAACAGAGGTCGAGTTTTATCTTCAAGGGTCACAAGAAGAAAGACAAGTGACGGTGCGTTCTCGAAATTGATTGTGTGATATTACTTGTTTCCTCAGTCATGAGCTGTGAGATGCGCGTGTGGGAAGGTAAGGACGCTGCTAGAGGTAGTGGGGCACTTATGGGAAGGCTTTCTCTGTACTACTAAACACAAAAACATAGGTGAAAATTGAATTACCTCCAGTGGCTGAAGAACATTTTGCAAAGCTCCTATTCCACTTACTTCCCCATCTTCTTCTGCTACAACTGCTGGTATCACTGTCGTTTTGTAAGTCAACTACAATTTGTTCCACAACGTCGTCAATGATAGGTTCCACCCGCAAGTAATTCTGTTCGCACCTCGAACTCCATTCTTCCTTTGTGATGATACCAAACTTTTCCTCAGCTAGTTTCATAGCATCATCTAGACAGAAACGTACATTATTTCTGGCGACATATTCTTTAACCGATCTCCATATCAGTTCAATAGGATTAAGATCTGAATGTTATGGTGGCAAGCGAAGGACAGAGTGGCCATGTTCAGCCAGTAGAGCATCAATTTTGGATGTTTTGAATTGTGGCTTACGCAGTTTAATTAGAGAATGCAATTCGGGCTTACACATTCGGTCACTGAAAGGAATGCCACGATCTGAAAGCCAGTCGATCACAGCATTTTTTCGAGATGAAGAAGTTGGAGCCGGATTGAGTTGTACATTATGGTAAGCTGCATTGTCCACTACTAATACAGAATTTGGTGGAAGGTTTGGAATTAACTTCATTTTGAGCCATCTTTCATCGTTGTCAAAATTTATTTCGCGTTGATAATCTCCAGATTTTGTCCCCGATTTAAACATTAACAAAGCATTTGGAATTAAGCCATTTTCATTGCCAGTATGTACGATGATGACTCGCTGTCCTTTGGAGACGGGTGCAAGTGGACCTGCATTTGTTCTTTTGTGTGTGAGGAGTGAATGTACGTTTTGTCCGTGTAGATGACAGGGCGCCCCTCATTTCTGTAAGGACTTATATTTCTCAAATCTGACAGTCTTGCTGCACTAATATCATCCTTTTCGATGATAACTTTTCTATAACTTTCCGATTTCCTCCACCTGAAGCGTAAATCTCTAATTATTTTCCAAAGAGCCCACTTCCCGCCACTGAAGTTAATCTTTTCCTTGATTACTGCCAACAACGATTTTGAAGTAGGATGCTCACCTTATGTAGTGTGAAATTCATTAATCGTTCTTCGAATTACACACTTGTAAAAATCATCTACATCAATTTTCATTTTCCTTCTTGGCCGTTTTTTGTGAGGTGTGCTGAATTATTTCCCCACTCGTTTATTATGTTCACGCTCTTTTAAAATGCTTTTCAGAGTGTTTAAGGACACAACAGTAGCTTCAGAAACACGATGTTGTATTTGATTAACGTTAATCACATTGCCGCTGTCAGCTTCTTTCTTCATAAAACTGTAAACACTTATCACCATTTCTCTATTTTGGCTGTGTATTACTTTACGCCCCCCTATTTTCTTTACACCTCTGCTATCGCCTTGCATTCTGTTCATGCTGAGTAGAAACAATATGGGTAAATGTTATTGAATTGGAACTCAACACACGAAGTGAACTTGGTCACGGCTCGCTTGTAATTGAGCTCCGCTTAGAATCCACCCACTGTTCGAGCTGCAAATACACTGCACATCTCAAGGCCACAGGTCATGTCCGAGCAAACGTCTAATACAGTTTGAATAGAAGGGGTAATAAAGTTTCAAAAATAAATTTTACATGTGTGTTAGAAACAGACATGTACAGAAATACATAACGCAGGGTATCGTTCCTTTTCTCGCAAATGGCGAAACCCACCACCCGCCATAACAGCCATACGCATTCGAACATGGCGGTATTATTGTAAGCAGTAGTTCAGACAGCTGCCGCTGGATCGCGCCTGTTGGTATGCGGTGATTCGTTCGAAGCTCGACAGTTATTCCTCGTTATTGCTGTTGTGTACGCGTTACTTGGTAGTTGTAGCGTTTCTGTGGGAATCCGTGCACCGTGACAATATCAGCATAAGTGTTGGCCATCTTCTTATACGGTAAGTTCACGACTTTATTATGTAAGGACAGGAAACCCACTTCCAACGCGAATTCGATTGCAAGCGTGAAGATAAATGTGAATTATATGCACAGCGCGGAAAATTTGATTATATGCGATCTGTCCAACGGTGTAGTAGCAGACGAAAATTATCATTACTATTTAAAAAGCTAACGACGGTTAGCTTTTACGTCTTTATTCGCATAACCAATTTGGTCCAACATTCAATTTGTGTGACAGTGTAAACTTACTTCACTGATTTATGCCTCCTGCATCTTTCACGCCCTCTTCATGTCACAAACTGCATGTAACCCTCAGTCTCGCTTATGCGATTATTGTGTAAAGTTGTGTTGTATTTTTTTAAAATGTATATTACAGTTTACTGCAGTTGGACAGCATCCTATAATGGAGAGGTTGTAAATTTTAAAGAGAACTCGATTAAATTATAGCACCCTTACAGGGATATCTCGAAAGATTTTCGTGAGAAAAATAAACAGCGAAAAATCACAGATTTCATGAAACCAAAACCACTAATTCTTGGTCCTGTTTATCTCGAACCATCAGTCTCTGTATCTGATATGTTTGAGTTTAATGTCCAACTATGTGCTAATATTTTATTTTAATACCAAATTTTTTTGGAGGCTTTCCACGGTCGCGTTCCCGTATCCACATTAATCCGACACAATATCGAGTTTGTCAAACGCGGATTCACGAAACTCGCCGCTTTTGAGGAACTTAAACACCCCATTGGACGAGGGTTCATCGTACCTGATTTGGTTGACGTTGCATTGTGATAGTTTCATTGTAAAAAAAGGCGTTGCAGGAAAGTGGGAAAGGTTGTTTCATCATCAATGGAGTATGAGTCGAAATGCGCACGTGCAATGCGATTAACCGAAATGTATACAGAGTTCAACAGAAACTTTCACCTTCATACACAAAAAACTAAGAGTAATTTATCTGGAGAATGTATGGTTTTTATAATAACCGTTGATGTCATTGATTTTTCTGAGTTTCGTCGTATACATGAACCCGTTTTAATGTATAAGCGTCAGGCCACTGCACTACTGTGAAATGCAAGTGTAACTATCGCTTCTGTGCTTCATGTTTATGAAGAAAACATTCAATAGCAGCAGATTCTCTTCCAAAAAAATAGAGATACGAGGCGCGTCCCAAAAGTAAGTTTCCCTGGGGCCGTTTACAGAAACAAAACACAATTTCATGGAAATATTTATTGCAACAGATACAGCAAGTGTCCAGCTATTTTTCAACATATTCGCCACCGGAATTGAGACATTTGTCATACCGTGGGACCAACTTTTGAATACCTGTGTCGTAGAAGTCTGCCGCCTGGGATGGGACCCACTGTGTGACAACCATCTCCGCCTCTCTGTCATTCTCAAAACGCTGACGCTGACCGGACAGGAATTTCTTGAGGTGTAGGAAAAGATGGAAATCACTGGGAGCGAGATCCGGGCTGTAGGGTGAATGATTAAACACCTCCCAGCTAAACTCCTGCAGGAGACTTGCTGTCCGTCGAACCGTGTGCGGCCTAGCGTTATCACTGACCGCACTTCACAGGCGGCGGGAGCTGGAATAAGAACCTCCATCTTCAACAGCCGCAACGATGCTACTGTGAGAACGCGGGAAGGTCCGTTAGTGCATGCGCCATGCTACGTCATTGCTCTATCACGTACGCACAGCCGCTTCGCGCAATATAAGGTTTGCTAGCTGTGGGACGAGTGGGAAACTTACTTTGAGGACGCGCCTCGTAAATCTTTACCAGAACAGTTGTTACAGAAATTCGAAAATAGCAATTTGATGTATGCTCCAAATTTCAGCAGCCTACGCGAAATTTACAAATAAATTACTAGCTATTCTGCATAAAATGCTTCATTAACTAATACTATATGTAGAAGAATCTGAAGGTTCAACATCTTCAGCGAGTCCCATTTATCTATCCATCGTAACGTATTCTCCAGAAATTCAATTTTTATTTTAAACTTATCTCTTTTTTCCAGTTTCGTTAATTGAGATCAATGATGGTTTTTGGGGTGTTTAACGATCGACACTTTACTGCTTACTTTTTTGGAGTAGAATGGCAGGATCATTTTGAATTATCAGTTTTGGAACTCTGTGACAGGATTAAGTGGTCATGACTCAGCTCAAGTTCTATGTATATCAACATTTATGTGGAGTGACTAAGCAGAAGAAAGGGAAATATATATATATATATCTCGCGGAAATCCAGTTTCCGGGTCGCAATTGGAACCTGGAATATCGCGAATACGAAACAGCTAAGGTACGTATGTAGTTCAAAAGAAATGCTACCAACATTCAGATCCGCTTACTTGCTTGTGCTATTTGGGAGTCTAATTGTCGAACTGTACATTGACCGGGCAGCACTATCATAACCTCGGGCACACGGACTTAATGACGGACCCGACACTAGGCTAGTTACAGAGCAAAGACAGCCTTTTCAGTTCAGAAATCTATGTATGCCTCGAAGTTCGAAATACCGTATTCTCCCGATTTTAAGACGCCATCGACTGAAAGACGCACTCTCGATTTAGTAACAGGAAAATGAACGTATATTACAATAAACATTGTCAATATTCAAGCATAAGACTTCTTTGTATCAATACTTTCGGAATATTTTTGTCGCTGTCTTTGTGTTTCCTGTTCCATGACTGGTGTTAAGGACATGAAGATTTTCCTCACGCTTTAGTCATACAATATAACGTTTCGACATCAGTTTTTAGATTTTTAGCATTTTTTCGAGATGAAGAATTTGGAGCCGGATTGGGTTGTAGATTATGGTAAGCTGCATTGTCCACTACTAATACCGAATTTGGTGGAAGGTTTGGAATTAACTTCGTTACGAGCCATCTTTCATCGTTGTCAAAATTCATTTCGCGTTGATAATCTCCAGATTTTGTCCCCGATTTAAACATTAACAAAGCATTTGGAATTAAGTCATTTTCATTGCCAGTATGTACGATGATGACTCGCTGTCCTTTGGAGACGGGTGCAAGTGGACCTGCATTTGTTCTTTTGTGTGTGAGGAGTGAATGTACGTTTTGTCCGTGTAGATGACAGGGCGCCCCTCATTTCTGTAACGACTTATATTTCTCAAATCTGACAGTCTTGCTGCACGAATATCATCCAATTCTTAGACGCCATCCGATTTCGGAAGTCTTAAAATGTTAAAAGGCACGTCTTAAAATCGAGAAAATAAAGCATACTTAGCTACAACTGAAACTATTCATTCTTACTATTGCTAAAAATGTGCAAACATATCATATTCTGTCTGGTAACAGCGGGCAAAACGTCTCGAATTTCAGTATAAAATAACGCTGTTGCATCCATTACCCCAAAAATTAGCGGGGACCAATGTTTCGCCTCTGAATCAGGAATTCAGGTGGTCGAGCAGTATTTCCTCAGTGGTTGGCCGCGCGACAAGATCTTTACGTACGAGGCTGATAGCGGATGCTGTATACCAGTGTATAAATAAATAAATAAATTAAAAAAAAAGAAGAAAGAAACCCGAATCATTGTCTTCTTCGTATCACAGATATTTCAAAATACACAAGAAAAATGTGTGTGTTCACATCGAATGTTATACATGTTCAGTATTTCAATGTTTACTATACCAACATAACATAACTGAAAATACGCTGAAGTTCCAAAGGCGTTCGTTACGTCATTAGCAATGTTGTTCAGTTGTTTCAAATGCAAATATACTCTTATACTACAGATCAAATATTTATTCAGACAGTAGATCTATCCTCCCCCAAAGCAGTGCAAACGCATGTGGAAAGCCAATAGCAGCTAATTTGTTGATAGAAATTCACCAGTTCAAACGTATTTGTTAAAACGCTAAATTATTCAGAGTTAAAGCCTTAAATTTTTAAAAGGTACGTATGTTCCTCCACATTGCCATGGTCAAAGCTTTTCTCCTGAGAAAACAGACAGCACGTTTCCTTATATCTCCTTAAATATTCACAACGATAAAAGCGTTTTAAATATGTAGGTTTTAATGAGGTGTGCGAAGAAAAACCAGATAAAACTGAATAATGTCTGATACCGTGACAAAATCATTATATAACGCTAGCAAACTAATTCTTTGAAAATGAGGCAAAACGCAAATATTTTGGAACGACAGCAACAATTTAAAATTGCATTAATGAAGAAATTGAGAACAGACTAAATTCGAGTAATGACTGCTACTGTGCAATACAGAATCTTGTCTCTCGTCTGCTTAGAAATCTGCAAAAGTATTGTTTTACCTAGATGATGTCTTTTGGGTTACAGCGCCGTGTAGTCTGGTAGAAGTTTACCTCCGTTTCAGAGGTCCGTGCTGCCTCCCTGATGATGGAGGCAGCAATGACGATTCATATTCGGAAATTCGCTTTTCGCTGTCGAGTTCTCAAAAACATTACCACAAAGATTACTTCAAACGTTTCGCGTGGTGCATCTTCGCGCTGCATCTCGGCATCAAATCGACGAGCTCTACACCACAAACCGAATTTCTTTGCAGAATGAAAAGCACTCCGGCTTCGTATTCGCGAGTCCCGGGTTCAAATGTCGGCCCGAAGACTTGAGGTTTTCCTCGGTTTGTCCAGAGAGATGCCAAGATAGTAGCTGAAATTATATCTCAGCCACTTCCATCCAGGCCCTTTCTAATTTATCAGTTACTATACTAATAAACCTATCAGTCGACGTTACATAATCTGAGCTACTGACAGCGTCGTTAAACAAAGCGCAGACAAATAATCATCGTAGTTCGTGCCTCCTACGCCAAGCTTCTTCACCAAATGTATGCAGATATTTATATAATTCTGGTTATACAACCAACAAATCACAATCTCCATAATTTAATTAACAATTCTCGGATAATAAGGGGCTCCATAGTTTGTAATATTCATCAAAAACCACTAGGAAGATGAGCCGGGCGGGACATGTAGTGCGTAGGGAAGTTTTTGGATGGCTATGGGGTGCCGT